CCTCATCCAGCCCCCGCCTTAGAACTTCCCAGCTGGGGGCCTGCCCCGTGTGGAAGGCCAGAGACCTAGCTGAAAGGGCCCTTCTGGGGTGGGGACGCTCCCCACACAGGATTCTGGGAGATTCTAGGAGGAGTCAGCTCCGGCTCCGGTCTTGAGAGAGGTTCCATTTTAACACAAAAGATATGTCCCCGCCCCCGCCCTCCCTCAGGCTGTGAGGCTCCCTCTGGGGAGCCCTTCCCCCGTGAGGACCCTCAGGGTGTCCCCTTGTCCCAGCGACACAGCCCCTACAGGCTGACCCCACATTCAGGTCCCGAGTGAATACACACCCATCCTGCGTGGGGTGCAAGAGGGCCTGCCCTGGGCTGAGGCCACAGGCTTGCCGACCTGCAGTGTGGTGGGGACAGGCGCCGTGACGAGCCAGATAGTCAACTGACTCCATCTTGACACGCTGACACCCCCATGAAGTTTCTTTTCCTTAAGCTACAGGTCTAGACCACCCCATCCTGTTTCCACTGAAAGCCTGCAGGCCTAGACCACCCCATCCGTTCTGGCAGAACATGGAGACCTAGTCAAGCCCCTATGCCAACCACAGAGACAGACCACGATGCCAGGTGTTGCTCATGGGTGTGACTTGCTAGAGTAAGCATAATGCTTTCTCAGCTTCTGTGAAAGTCTGCTTGCAAAGGCTGGGTCCTAGTTGAAGCCCTCACAGCGAATGAGGCTCAGCCACAACGCCAAGGAGTTTCTCTGCAGGTGCTATTTGCTAGATTAGGTTTAACACTGCTCTCTGCTTCTGTAAAAGATTGCTTGCAAAGGATAGAAAAGAGACTCCATATTGCACCCCGGCCGCTCGTGGGTTTTATCTTTATAAACCCCGTGAAGCTGCTCTTTTGGGTAGAGAGTCCCTTCTGGCATGAGCCCCTCTCGACCCCGGAGAAGGACTCAAAGCTTGATTCAGTCTCAGAGTGTTTGGCAATCTCGTCTTTAATATATAACAACGGGAATCGCAGAGCAGCAGAGACCCCACTGTTGGTGCCCATGAGCCCCCCACAGCCAGGCATCTGGAGCAAGGTCTCCAGCAAGCCTCCGCTTCAGGCCTGGCCTCTACGTGCCCTGCCCTCTTGGCCCAGGACTATGTCCCGTACCTGCCCCAGAGGAAATCCCACCTCCACAGGGCAGCCTGTCCTGGACGCTGCTCCTGACACCCTCTCCCCCTCTGTGTGCCCCGTAACTCAGGGGAGACTGTCTGCTGGTCTGACCACACCCCTCTGGGGAGCCCTTCCCCCGTGAGGACCCCCAGGGTGTCCCCTTTTCCCAGCGACACAGCCCCTACAGGCTGACCCCACATTCAGGTCCCGAGTAAAATACACACCCGGAGCAGCACCTCTGGTCCAGGACTGGGGCTCCCCACTCCTGGGGGGGTTCTGAGGAGGGTTAGTGGGGGCCCACTCAGGGAGCCCCTGAGGCAGTCAATCCTTAACCTGTGGTCCATGAGACAGTAGAAGTCTGGAGGGAATGGACACCCAGGGTCCTACACCCCTGATTTAACCCCACATGCGGTGTAGACAACACAGGTGGCCTACCTGTCGGATAAGCTGTCCTCAGGCCAGGAGGGGCCCCTGCAGCAGGCTGTGTGCTGCCTGGTCGGGGAGTCACACCTGTGTCTGCAACACAGCAGGTTGGGGGAGAGGGGATTCTGGTGAGAACAAGCAAGCGTCTAAAATTGGGCCCTGAACCCCCAGATCGCATGCACATGCAAACGACCTTCCCCGTGGCCCCTGACCAGTGTCACCAAGCCCCACAAGTAGGGAAGGTGTACCAGTGCCCTGCGGCTGCAGGACAGGTCGCCACGGATGCCGCTCCTCAAATTTAACTCTAAAATCTGTAGAAAACTTTAATATCGCAACATCGGAATGACGAATAATCCAGTTAAGAAATGGGCAGAAGACACGAACCGATGCTTCACCCAAGAAGATGTGCAGGTAGCCAACAAAGCCGGGAAGAAACGCACCGTCACCCATTGCTGTTGTTAGGTGTCATCGAGTCAGCTCCGACCCATAGCAACCCCACATACAACAGAACAAAACACCACCTAACCCTGCACCACCCTCACAATCCTTGCATTAGACACTGTCGTTGTTGTTATGTACCGTGGAGTCAGCCCCAACTCATAGCGGCCCCTCCTTGGGTTTCCAAGGGGTATCCCTATGGAAGTAGATTGCCCAACCTTCCTTCTGAGGAGTAGCTGGTGGGTTTGAACCGCTAGCCTTCTGGTTAGCAGTCAAGTGCCTTAGGCACTATGCTACCAGAGCTCCTGCATTAGGCACTAGAGAAATGCAAATCAAAACATCTATGAGAGAGAGGCGGGGCAAGATGGCGGACTAGGCAGAAGGATTGCACAGACCC